TCTTGTTTGATGGCAAAGACTGCAAAACCTTCTTAATCTCCTCCTCTGTAATAATGCTCGTCAACATCTCAGCCATATCATCTGAGCATCTATACTTAAGCAATTCATATATCTCTTGCTGCACAATATTCTCTTGAAGAAAATCTTGATAGTATCTCACTGCTTCTGCTTTAATATCTTTTGAACCCGTAAGGATCTTAGCAGCTTCATTAATTAGCTTCCTTATTGCATTTTTAGACCGTCGCGTTTGTACAGCACGATGAAAAACTGTTGTATTATGATCACCATATTTCAGCCAGCTAATGTGGGACTTCTGGTGAAAAACCTTTCTTCAACCTCTGCAAAATTTTGCCATTCTCCCAAAGCTAAATGCTCTGCTTGAAAAGTTTCACGGCATGGATTTCGGAGTGCATCTTCTTGTCTAGCACATAATACCTCAAAAGCTAATTTAGTTCGCTGTGTAATGTCTCCATATTTCTCTCCGTTCAAAGCTCTAAGATATGGCTTGAGCAACTTGAGCTTGCGGTGAAAAAGCTTCAGAGCGGATCGAGATTGAAATATGGGCTCAGTCGCATTCCAAACTTCAGAAACTATATCAAGAAATTGCGGATGCTCGGCTAGATAGTTGAAGAACTGAAAATGGTGTTTCTTCTCCTGCACACCATCTGCAATCTTAACCAAACACCTTGAATGATCCGAAATACCATTAGTTTCAAAGGTTGCACAAGACTGCGGGTATGTCTCACACCATGCACTTTTTACCATAGCTCTATCAAGCTTCTTACCAATAGGAACCTCATCTTGATGATTCCACCAGGTGAAAACAGGTCCCGTATACCCTAAATCAGTGAATTCACATTCGGAGATCAACAATTGGAAGTCTCGCATCCCAGTTTGATCTCCCAATCCCTCAGCTACACGAGAGTGCTCCTCTGATGCCAAGACGACATTGAAATCTCCTATGATCATCCAAGGGAGAGTAGATGTACTAAGCATCTCCTTGTTCTGTTTGATTTCTTCCCAAAGAGTTAACCGA